ACTTGGTTATAATATGATAGTAAGATGGTACAAAGGATAATATAAAGGTTGGAGGTGAATATACAAACTTGAAAATCTGGCAACAAAAGGTTAAGAAAAGTATAAAATAATGATTAATGTACAAAAGTAAAACTGACTGGTAGTAAATATGGTGTTTAATAAAATTTTAGTAAGTAATAATGATTACAAGAAATATTAATTAATAAAAATAAAATGAAAAAGAAATGTTTATTTCAAGTACTAAATTTTAAGAACAGTTATTTAGATTCAATATTGCACTGGTAGTTATACTAGAGGTTAACTGGCAGTACAAGGTATTTAACCCCTTCAGGGTCCAAGGCCCAAATCTGAAGTGGTGCCCTAGTGTCCAAGAATTTTCAAAACAAAAATTTGTTATTTTTTCTTATGAAATGGTAGAGAATCTTTTTGTGAAGGTAATAAAACAAAAAGTACGAAATTTGATGGAAAATTGACGAAATTATGCTCTCGCGAATTTTGATGTGTCAGCGATATTTACGAATCGGCGATTTTGCCGACTTTGAGTCCCGTTTTAGGCCAATTATATTATTCCAGTCAACCAAATTCCTAGCTATTTCACTAGTATTACTTCTATTCTATCGATTGAGCACAAGAAATCGCCAAGTCAACTGTTTCAACTACAAATTAAAGTGATCGGAAATTATTAATTTGGCCAATTTAACACAAAGTTCAAAATATTCCAATTTCAAAATAGGGTCCAGAATAAACAATGTAGGAATTCCTGGAACTAAACTAACATTTCCTCTGTTCATTAGTTACGTTTTGAGGCTTTACAAATAAATTCCATTTTGATTTTTTATTCACATAATGAATTTTTATTCACACCAAAAAATAGAAGATTTACTGTTATGCAATACTGTAATAATTGTATAAATATCATCACCATATTTGTGAATGCATATTAGACCCACCAGCTGGCGTGTATTAGACGTGTGAGGTCGTTCGTTTACTCTTGAATATCGGCAAAAATTTAACATTTCTGCTACTTTGAGCTCAGTTTCAAGCCATTTCCAGTGCTAAAACCCATCAAAATCATCTCTATTTCTGTAATATGTCTTCCATTCTATCAAATGAGACCAAGAAATCGCAAAAACAACTATAAAAAACATACGAAAAAACACTGCAAAGTCGCTGTTTTAATCGAAAAATCATGATTTCAGTTTTTTTTCTCTCATTATACACAGTGTGCTGCAGGATCTGTTTTATGTGGTGCACACATACCACATAGATGTATTCTCTCATATCTAGGCCCAAATGTACCACTCACAGTTTATCAGAGTGAGCTGAGCTCATGACGTAGATCTACGGGACGGACCCTGAAAGGGTTAAGAGTAAGAAACTACTCTAAGATAGTAAATGTGGTATTAAAACAGGTTATGGTAATTAAATAAGTAATGGTAATTAAAATAATGCCAAAAATGTTGAGAGTAAATTGTACTGATAATAAAAATGGTATTGATAATAAATTTGGTAAGTAATAGCAATTAATAGTATTTAAAGAAATATGAGGTAGTAATATGGACAGAGAAAGTATTAATTAAGCAAACAATAGTAATTAAGAAAATTATATAACATAAGGTGGGAGACGGCCGACTTGTTGAAAAAAAAAAAAAAAAAAAAAAGGTGACTTATGCTTACTAGTAAAATCACATTACTGAGGTAGTTGACTTTTGATTACTAAGAGATTGTACTGTGAAATTTGCACAATAATGGAGCAAAACATACACTGCACGTAGGCTTTTAGGTTGGACATTATTTAGTTATTCTCTGTAAGATTAATATCCCTAAGAAATCGTGACAGATCATTCTCGTTTGTGATTGTGTACAGTTGACCTACATTTGTTTTCCTAACTAGAATTTTCCCATCCCGTGTGAAGCATTGGTGTATTGTGTCATTATTCTCTCGCTTAAGTTTTCTGACTCTATACAGGAGGTTCTGATGTTTTTTGGTGAGACATTTGTTTATGTATACCTCTTTCTTTACTTTAATAGACGTAATAATTAAGTCTTTTTTCATGTCATGGGAGTGGAATCTAAGCATAACACTTTTTCTACCATGGGATCCTAGTAACCTGGCTTCCTTTATTTCTGACTCTGGTACTGTAACTTTTGTTTGGTCCATATCACTGAGAAAAAGTGGACTGTTAACTACTACTGCGTCCAATAGTTTTTCTTGCTCAGTTTTATCTTCTTGGAGTGCAAAGTAGTCACTGAACTGGTTATCCAAGTTGTTCTTCCATTTTTTTACTGCTTCTTCAACCTTTGCATTAAGAGATATTATTTGTTCTGTATGGCTATCTATGACTGTTTGGATGGTCTTGCCATAGTCATTCCTGGTGTTGATAACTTTTGTTCAAGACTGAGGATTTTGTTCTCGAGTTGTGTCATCCTGGTGTCTTGTTTTGTTAGCTCCTCTCGAAGATTCATATTTTCAATAACTAAGGTGGAGATGCATGACTTTAGGGTATCTGGATCATTGGTCATACCTGAGGGACTATTTGGTAGGTTGAATCCGGAGAAGAGAGAGGTGGTAGAGATGGAGGCAGTAACGATTCTTATCGAAAAAGAAGGGTCAAGGACTCGCATCCTGTTCAGCCCAATATAACTTGTCACTCAGCTTAATTAACAATCCCCCCCCCCCCCGGACTCTTCCACTTTTTAGTAAATACCTTGATCCTTGAAGCATAAGTCAAATTTTGAGAAAGGTTATCACAGAAGTTAGGCACTCAATGTCCCCATTCACCACCTACAAAGAGATACTTCTAGTATCATCCAAGGGAGGCAGGGAACGAAATCGAACTCTGACCACTGACACATCTTGACTACAATCCAGAAGAGCAGATCATGTTCAAATATGAAAGGGCATGGAAAGTCTCATGTGATTAACAGAGGGGTTCCTCATTTCCATTTCCCTGTACTCGTATAAGCTGGGTTGCCATCATATGCCTAACCTGAAACAAACAGCATAAGTCCAGTAATACAAATGAATCTTAAGGTGGTGGACAGGGTCAAACAAGAGATGCCTATGGATTAGATCTAGCAGCAATACTCTAGTCTACAGGCAGAGCATAGTCCCTTCATTTGCTCCTTATGTATGGTCTGAGAGCACCTTCAAGAAATCTTGTGCGCACAGAGCATGCGCTTCTGCTGCTTCAGATCGGAGGTCCATGTTATTGCATATTTAAGGGCTACCCACAGGAAATGTCACCTCACAAAGCAGTACATGATGAGAAGTCTTCCTCACCCAAGACTGGGTAAAATGATCAGTTGTGCATCTGGTGAAAGCCTTATTTGCGAACCAACCCAATCGCAATATTGTCCATCTCCACCTGCAGCAGGAAACAGGTCAACTCAGTAGTGGATTCTGAGAAGTACACTGCCGATTTGACTACATTGGGGACGACCCCGACTATACCAACCGTGACTTCTATAATGCATGTGATGCTTCAAATTGGTTGTCGCAGGCCCTTCTCCTGGGTAAGTCTTCCGAGTAGAACAAAGCATCTCTCACTTTAACAATTTTCTAGAGAAATGTTGGAGAAGCAGAGTCGAACGGGCTATTTGATATAACCCATCGGGAAATTGACCACCAAACCAAGTATTTTATTGTCAACCAGAACTTGCAGAAGCCAACTGCAAAGATAAAGGGGACTAGCCTAGACAAGATGAACCCTTTCACCATCCTCTTTGCAACTCTGCAGTGAAGCTCCTAAGGGGATCGCTGGTACTCACAGCTTCCTTGGGCCCCCGGGGCCTGACTTGGGATAACCAAAACATTAATGTTTGTGTAGTGGGGGTCAGAGTGATGAACAAAGGGTTAGCAATACATAACTAAATGGTCTGTTATCTTGTGGACAGAGTAAGAGAAACCGCCTTCTCCCACATCTACCTTTTATCCGGGTGGTAAACTTAACTGGTCAGCCTTTGGCCAGCTGGGCGCCTACGGGCTGAGAAGGGAATACGTAGAGGGTGAGGTCTCGGGTAATGCCCAGCCCACTTCTTCATTTGGTGACCCAAGATCCCCATTGAGGAGTATCTTGACTAGATCTTCCTTTGGGAAGAATGTTTATACCTGTTCATTGTCGGGGCCCAATTGCCCTAGTCCTAGCACTATTCCTGCTTCAAGGGAGACACTGGGGCACCTTGGACTGCTACTAACTCCGCCACTGGTCAAAGGTTGGCATCTAAAGCAGCAGATGTAGGAATTTGCAAAGGCAGCAAGTACTACAGGACCCCTTTGGGCCACACCCGCTTTGGGCCCGCAGCCGGTCTGGGAAAGCTCAGGGAATCCTTTTGCTGTGTAGTTGTTCTGCTGCTTTTTATACTTGTCTTTTTCACCCCTAATAGGGCAAAAATTTGTAACAGACTTTATTTTGACATTGCTACTTTGTTGGGTCTGTGGATTCAAGTCATTTAACCAAATTTGACAAATATATCAAACAGCATTCCAAAAGTGTGTGAAAAAAGACATGTTTGAAGGAAAATCTAAAAAAAACTGTTGACCTATGGTTAAGACAAAAATCCCAAAAAAAAAAAAAAAAAATCACATGGGTCGAGAAGTTAAAGAAACCATCAAGTGCGAATTATTTGTGTACTGAGTTGGGGGATAATTCCTTCCATTAAAAATCTGCTGTGGGTTATAGCTACTGAAATGTTGTTTAGATATAGCAACAGCCTATTACTCTGAATGATCTATGGATATATTCTAGAGTGAAACAAATAGATTTGGTGTTATGTATTTTGATTATAGCCAGAAAATTATATTTGTTTTATGACAATAAATTAGTCACGATAATAGGAATCTGTTAGTGAAAATAGCATATTGTCATAATAGCTGGAAACTGGAAATATTAATAGCAAATTAATACTGTTATTAAATATTTAGGTTAAAAACATTAAATAACCAAATGGTTAGGGTGAGGTTTGTACATTATACAACTTGATCTGTGGAAGCTACGAACATGGAGCTGGTCGACCACAGCCTTGGGGTCAGGGAAGTGGTCAGGGTTGAACACTGCGTTGCCATGGCATGTTTCCCAGTCATCGTCTATCTCAACCTGCAGGAAAGATTAATAAATGTGTATATATATATTTTTTTATTTTTATTATTATCACACTGGCCGATTCCCACCAAGGCAGGGTGGCCCGAAAAAGAAAAACTTTCACCATCATTCACTCCATCACTGTCTTGCCAGAAGGGTGCTTTACACTACAGTTTTTAAACTGCAACATTAACACCCCTCCTTCAGAGTGCAGGCACTGTACTTCCCATCTCCAGGACTCAAGTCCGGCCTGCCGGTTTCCCTGAATCCCTTCATAAATGTTACTTTGCTCACACTCCAACAGCATGTCAAGTATTAAAAACCATTTGTCTCCATTCACTCCTATCAAACACGCTCACGCATGCCTGCGGGAAGTCCAAGCCCCTCCCCACACAAAACCTCCTTTACCCCCCCCTCCAACCCTTCCTAGGCCGACCCCTACCCCGCCTTCCTTCAACTACAGACTGATACACTCTTGAAGTTATTCTGTTTCGCTCCATTCTCTCTACATGTCCGAACCACCTAAAACAACCCTTCCTCAGCCCTCGGGACAACAGTTTTGGTAATCCCGCACCTCCTCCTAACTTCCAAACTACGAATTTCTCTGCATTATATTCACACCACACATTGCCCTCAGACATGACATCTCCACTGCCTCCAGCCTTCTCCTCGCTGCAACATTCATCACCCATGCTTCACACCCAAAATAAGAGCGTGTAAAACTATACTCTCTTACATTCCCCTCTTTGCCTCCAAGACAAATTCTCTGTCTCCACAGACTCCTAAGTGCACCACTCACTCTTTTTCCCTCATCAATTCTATGATTCACCTCATCTTTCATAGACCCATCCGCTGACACGTCCCACTCCCAAATATCTGAATACGTTCACCTCCTCCATACTCTCTCCCTCCAATCTGATATTCAATCTTTCATCACCTAATCTTTTTGTTATCCTCAAAAACCTTTAAACTCTTTCCTATATTCACCTTTAATTTTTCTTCTTTTGCACACCCTACCAAATTCATCCACCAATCTCTGCAGCTTCTCTTCAGAATCTCCCAAGAGCACAGTGTCATCAGCAAGAGCAGCGTGACAACTCCCACCCTGTTTGATTCTTTATCTTTTAACTCCACGCCTCTTGCCAAGACCCTCGCATTTACTTCTCTTACAACCCATCTATAAATATATTAAACAACCACGTGACATCACACATCCTTGTCTAAGGCCTACTTTTACTGGGAAAAAATTTCCCTCTTTTCTACATACCTAACTTGAGCCTCACTATTCCTCGTAAAAAACCTTCTTCCTGCTTTCAGTAACCTACCTCCTACACCATACACTTGCAACATCTGCCACATTGCCCCCCTATCCACCCTGTCAAAACGCCTTTTCCAAATCCATAAATGCCACAAAGACCTATTTAGCCTTATCTAAATACTGTTCACTTATAGTTTCACTGTAAACACCTGGTCCACAACCCCCTACCTTTCCTAAAGCCTCCTTGTTCATCTGCTATCCTATTCTCCGTCTTACTCTTAATTCTTTCATTTTAACTCTACCATACACTTTACCGGGTACACTCAACAGACTTATCCCCCTATAATTTTTGCCACTCTTTTATCCCCTTTCCCTTTTTATACAAAGGAACCTATGCATGCTCTCTCTCCCATCCCTAGGTACCTTACCCTCTTCCCATACATTTTTTAAAATAATAGCACCAACCACTTCCAAAACTATATCCCCACCTGCTTTTAACATTCTATCTTTACCCCATCAATCCCGGCTGCCTTACCCCTTTCATTTTACCTACTGCCTCACGAACCCTTCCCCCACACTCACAACTGGCTCTTCCTCACTCCTACAAGATGTTATTCCCCTTGCCCTATACACAAATCACAGCTTCCCTATCTTCATCAACATTTAACAATTCCTCAAAAAAATTCCCTCCATCTTCCCAATACCTCTAAACTCCATTTAATAACTCTCCTCTCCAAATTTTAACTGACAAATCCATTTTTCTCTAGGCTTCCTTAACTTGTTAATCTCACTCCAAAACTTTTTCTATTTTCAACAAAATTTGTTGATAACAGCTCACCCACTCTCTCATTTGCTCTCTTTTTAAACATTGCTTTCACCACTCTCTTAACCTCCCCTCTTTTTCTCCATATACTCTTCCCTCCTTGCATCACTTTTTACTTTGTAAAAACTTCTCATATGCTAACTTTTTCTCCCTTACTACTCTCTTTACATCATCATTCCACCAATCCGCTCCTCTTCCCTCCTGCACCCACTTTCCTGTAACCCACAAACTTCTGCTGAACACTCTAACATACATTTTTAAACCTACCCCATTCCTCTTCGACCCCATTGCCTATGCCCCTCATTAGCCCATCTATCCTCCAATTTAGCTGTTTTATATCTTACCCTAACTGCCTCCTCTTTTAGTTTATAAACCTTCACCTCTCTCTTCCCTGATGCTTCTATTCTCCTTGTATCCCACAAACCTTTTACTCTCAGTGTAGCTACAACTAGAAAGGATCTGATATATCTGTGTCCCCCTATAAACATGTACATCCTAAAGTCTACTCAACAGTCTTTTATCTACCAATACATAATCCAACAAACTACTGCCCATTTCGCCCTACATCATATCGTGTATACTTATTTATCCTCTTTTTCTAAAATATGTATTACCTATAACTAAACCCCCTTTCTATACAAATTTCCCAATCAAAGGGCTCCCATTATCAATTTACCACCTGCACCCCCAAACTTACCTACCACACCCTCTCTAAAAGTTTCTCCTACTTTAGCATTCGGGTCCCCTACCACAATTACTCTCTCATTTGGGTTCAAAGGCCTATACATTCACTTAACATCTCCCAAAATCTCTCTCTCTCCTCTGCATTCCCTTTTTCTCCAGGTGCATACACGTTTAAATTAGACCCACTTCCCCGCATCCAACCTTACTTTAATCCACATAATTCTCGAATTTACACATTCATATTCTCTTTTCTCCTTCCATAACTGATCATTTAACATTACTGCTGCCCCTTCCTTTGCTCTAACTCTCACAGATACTCCAGATTTAATCCCATTTATTTCCCCCCCACTGAAACTCTCCTACCCCCTTCAGCTTTGTTTCGCTAGAGCCAGGACATCCAACTTCTTTTCATTCATAACATCAGCAATCATCTGTTTCTTGTCATCCGCACTACATCCACGCACATTTAAACAACCCAGTTTTATAAAGTTTTTCTTCTTCTCTTTTTTAGTAAATTATACAGGAGAAGGGGTTACTAGCCATTGCTCCCGGCATTTTTAGTGCCCTAACGACCACGCATGGCTTACGGAGAAAGATTCTTTTCCATTTTCCCATGGACAATAGAAGAAATAAAAAAAGAACAAGAGCTATTTAGAATAAGGAGAAAAACCTAGATGTATGTATATATATATATGCATGTGCGTGTCTGTGAAGTGTGACCAAAGTGTAAGTAGGAGTAGCAGATATCCCTGTTATCTAGCGTGTTTATGAGACAGAAAAAGAAAACCAGCAATCCTACCATCATGCAAAACAGTTACAGGTTTTTGTTTCACAGTCATCTGGCAGGACGGTAGTACTTCCCTGGGTGGTTGCTGTCTACCAACCTACTACCTGTATATGTAATGTATGTATGTATGTATGTAAATATATATATATATATATATATATATATATATAAATATATTAAAATATATATATATATATATTAAATATATAATATAATATATATATATATATATATATATATAATATATATTTTATATATATATATTACTATAGGTAGTAGGTTGGTAGACAGCAACCACCCGGGGAAGTACTACCGTCCTGCCAGATGACTGTGAAACAAAACCTGTAACTGTTTTGCATGATGGTAAGGATTGCTGGTTTCTTTTTCTGTCTCATAAACACGCTAAGATAACAGGGATATCTTGGCTACTCCTACTTACACTTTGGTCACACTTCACAGACACGCACATGCATATATATATATACTTTACATCTGGGTTTTTCTCCTTTTTCCTAAATAGCTCTTTTTTCTTTTTTATTTCTTCTATTGTCCATGGGGAAGTGGAAAAGAATCTTTCCTCCGTAAGCCATGCGTGTCGTATGAGGCGACTAAAATGCCGGGAGCAATGGGCTAGAAACCCCCTTCTCCTGAAATAAAATTACTAAAAAAGAAAAGAAGAAAAACTTTATAAAACTGGGTTGTTTAAAAATGTGCGTGGATGTAGTGCGGATGACAAGAACAGATTGATTGCTGATGTTATGAATGAAAAAAAGTTGGATGCCTGGCCCTAAGCGAAACAAAGCTGAAGGGGGTAGGAGAGTTTCAGGGGGGGGAAATAAATGGATTAAATCTGGAGTATCTGAGAGAGTTAGAGCAAAGGAAGGGGTAGCAGTAATGTTAAAATGATCAGTTATGGAAGGAGAAAGAGAATATGAATGTGTAAATTCAAGAATTATGTGGATTAAATTTAAAGGGTTTGGATGCGAGAAGTGGGTCATAATAAGCTGTATGCACCTGGAAAAAGGGGAGGAATGCAAGGAGAGAGAGAGATTTTGGGATTTGTTAAGTGAATGTATAGGAGCCTTTGAACCAAGTAGAGAGAAATTGTGGTAGGGACTTGAATGCTAAAGTAGGAGAAACTTTTAGAGAGGGTGTGGTAGGTAAGTTTGGGGTGCCGGGTGTAAATGAATGGGAGCCCTTTGATTGAACTTTGTATAGAAAGGGGTTTAGTTATAGTAATACATATTTTAAAAAAAGAGGATAAATAAGTATACACGATATGATGTAGGGCGAAATGACAGTAGTTTGTTGGATTATGTATTGGTAGATAAAAAGACGTTGAGTAGACTTCAGGATGTACATTTTTAAATAGAGGGGCCACAGATATATCAGATCACTTTCTAGTTGTAGCTACACTGAGAGTAAAAGGTAGATGGGATACAAGGAGAATAAAGCATCAGGGA